CGAAATAACTCTGCGATATTCAAAATTGTAATGGATACCCAAACTATAATCAATGAAACTTATTTATTCATCAAAGTTATTCATTGATTTTACGCAATAATAGCGTGGTTTGGATGAATTATGTTAATAATTAATATTTGCATAACTATATCTAATAACACTGATTAAAGTTCTCATTATACAATGAAACTGCAATTAATAATTTGTAATCAGCCACATAAATAACAACCTTAGACAAGTACATAAATATTCTAATCATTAGATATGGCATTTTCCTAAACAGTAATTATAATTGAATGATTAATAAATGTAATAATTAAACGATTTATTATTATTTATTGTTTTTCCCCTTTATTATTTCTCATGCATCGTGTAAAGTTGCTTGAAATATTCTGCACAAGCTGTGGTATACATAGTATAATGCACTTAGTAGAATATTATCGTTATAAGTGTCCACACACAACAAAGTCCACGTGCGAGTAACGAGCAGATTCAAGGATTCAGCATTTTCCTTTATATATACGAGGTCGTTTACTCATTGTTATAACTTCCTTAGAAGCCATTACAAAGACGCTCGTTCCCCTATTCTAAGATAATTCGGCTGACACAAAGCACACAGCTACCCAAAAGAAAAAAGAAGAGAGAAGAGAGAAAGAGAGAGAGAGAGAGAGAGAGAGAGAGAGAGAGAGAGAGAGAGAGAAAGAGAGAGAGAGAGAGAGAAGGCTACGAGAGTAGGAGAAAAAAGAGGGGAAAGGAGAAAAGAGTGAGAGAGGACTTTATTGAACGTTCTGATTGGCTATTTTCGTAAGAAATTTTAGAACTCTAGAAATTCTCTATCCGACAGCCAATCAATACGCTCGACAAATTTGTCGTATGACGTACGACGCATGTAATGCCATCTTAATTCTAGAGAAAGAACAAAAGTGGCAGGGTTTGAGTCGGTTAAACAGAGTTCGAGGTTTGAGTCTCCGCTAGGCAGGGTTTAAGTCTAAATAAGGTTCGAATCTCTGCTAAACAGGGTTTGAAAAGAAAGAAAAAGAAGGTTCTGTGTATATATATATATATATA